TTTGACTCAAGTATATAGTTTCTCCAACAATACAGTCTCACCATCAAGTCCGGAGTGAAAGCAATAGCATTGGCTATATATACCTGTAATGTTTGGGGGTCTATGTGACCTAACTAGCCAACAACTTCAAAATAGGCAACCCATTCATGACACTAGGCTTTTTATTTGTTAGCCTATGGTGTCTAGTAGGGGCACTGGTACCTGGTTATAGGGTAATTCCACTTTAATGCTTTTCATATATGAGCGTGTATATATTTTAGGAAGCTTCTATAGTGGTAGATTTCCTTATGACCACCGCCCAGCTCCTGAGTAGTTTTGAAGTCTATTTTTCCAGATATTGGATTAACTATTCCACTTGTTTCTGATTTCATATCTTTTCCTATTACTTCACCCTAAGGTGGTATCTATCATTGATTGTGGGGTATGTTTCCTAGAGGCAGCAAAAAAAGAGATGTATCATTTTCTAATCTAATCTGTTAGTCTGTGTGTATTTGCTAGGGAGTTGAGACTGTTAAGAATTATTGAACAATATGTACTAATTCCTGTTACTTTGTGGTATTTTATTACATATCTTTTTTTTTTTTTTTTCCCGGAACTGAGGACCGAATCCAGGGCCTTGCATTTGCTAGGCAAGTGCTCTATCACTGAGCTAAATCCCCAACCCCTCAGTACATATCTTTTAAGTAAGTGTTCTATTCAAATTATATTAAGTTTGATTAAATTTATTTCCTATGTCTTCTCAGGCATGTTTAATCTTCTCTCCACATCTCCTCTGTAAAGCTGGCTTAGTGGTCATAAATTCCTTAAATCTATTTTAATCATGAAAATTTTTCTTTTTCCTTTGATACAACTGATAATTTTGCTGGGTATAGTAGTCTGGCCTAGTATCTGAGGTCTTTTATAACTTGCTTAACTGCTTCAGGTTTTCAGTCTCCACTGAAATATCAGCTCCTCCTCTTCTTCTCTAGCCTTCCTTTGTTCTGTACCTTTACTGTGTTGACTGTTATGTGGAAAGTTTCTTTCTGGTTGTGTCTATTGATTACTCTGTATGCCTCAGATTTTGACAGACATCTCTTCCCTTAGACTAGGGAAGTTTTCTTCTTCGGTTTTGTTGACAATGTTTTCTGTGTCTTTGAGCTGAGTCTCTCTTCCTTTTGTATCCACTATTCTGCCATCCCTGGATGCTCTGTCTTTTCATAGTGTCCTGAAGTCCCTTGTGTGTTATGTCCGTGACTTTTTGCTGTTGGTTTCATTTAACATATCCTTTGACTAAGTGGTCCGGGTCTTCTGGGTTGTCTCAGGACCCGGCGTGCTTCCTTCCCCTTGTTCCAGTCTATTGGTGAGGCTTTCCTCTGAATTTTTTGTTTCAATTCCTAAAATTTTTAAGAGTTTTACTTCATTTTGTTTTTTTTTTCTTCTGAGCTTCTATCTCCTTACTAAATTCTATTTACAAAGCTTGAATTGCTTTTATTATTTCATTCAACTGTGTTTTCACTGTCTTTATTCCAGCATTTACTCAGCTCCTCTTTGAGATTCTCAATTATTTTATTGTTGTTATTTTGAAATCATTGTCTTATGCATCATCTAAGTTGCTTTTCTTAGGAACATTACTCTGGGAGGACTGATTCTTGGTGGTGACCTATTGTGTTGGTTATCCATGTTGCATGTGTTTTGGTGATGGAACCTAGGCATCTGGGGTTAGGTCTCTGGTAATGTCTCTTGGTATGAATACCTTGCTTTTCCTTCGTTGAGTGGGTATTTAAAGTCTCTATTTACTGCTCTAGCAATCTGAAGGGTTGTAGACCAGCAGAATTCAGATTAATTTCAGGATAGTTTAGGGGTTAGTCTTAGGGCAATTCAATGTTGATGCTTGACAGGGTATTAGAAGTAATTCCAGTTCAGCTTAGGCTAGGAGTAGTATCTAAGAACAGGAGAGGACTTCTGTAGAATTAGAGGGAAATCTCAGGAGAGTCCGGGGCAGAGGAAACCATGATCAGAATATACTCAATAAAAGAAAAAAAAAATGACAAAACAAACAAAAAAAGAATTCCATATGATACTGCATTGTCATACTTTAATTAGTAATTAGTTTGGCTTTTAATGGTGCATACAATCAAGTGACAATGTCATAGATTTGAAAATATATAATCACTGGGTGTAGTGGCGCACAGCTTTAAGCCTAGCACATGGGAGCTTGGTCTACAGAGTTGAGTTTCAGGATAGCCAGGGCTATATAGATAGACCTTGTCTCAAAAAAGGGGTAGGAGGGAGAAAAAGAAAGGAGAAGAAGATTTTTACAGCCAATCCTCAGGAGTCTGCTTAGGATTACCTGTTAGGCAGCAAGAGTGAGTGGAACTGACAGTGTGAGCATGGGGTTCCCTATCTGAAGAATGGGGTCTGAGGGCCAATACAAGAAACCTGATTCTGATGCAGGGAAGGGGTTAAGTGGGGTTGTAGTGGAGGACTAGGATGTAGTACTCAGGTTTCGGGAGCAGGTGGAGTTGGTCATGAGAGTGTGGGACCCTTTCCTGGAGAGACGCCATGGGCATGAATGGATTTGGTATCCCCAGGCTACAGTCCCTACCTGGAAAGTGGTCTAAGCAAAGGACACAGTCTTCAGGCAAGTCGGGGTGGAGACAGGTAAATAATAATGTTTCCATTTACCTTTGGTTTTTAATCTTAATGTTTGAAATTTCTTTATGATTATCCAATACACATTTTAAGAGTTTGTAGAGATCCACATAACATAACTATGAATAAACCAGTAATTTAACTTAGTGAATTGTATCATATTATGGTATTCTGTCTCAAATAACAACACTCCAAAGAACAAACATTATATCCAAAGATATAATATTGTTTTCAGAAAATATAACATTTTCAAGACATAAAAATGGTCAACAAGTATCTAAAAATACCTCAGTATCAGTCATTATCAAAACTAAATCAACACCATAACAAGGTATCGTCTCACTCCAGGCAGAGTAGCTATTAGCAAAAGGACCAAAAGTAGCACACAGCAAACCTGAGGGTGAAGGGGAATTCTTGAACAATGAATATACATTGTACACCCAATAGGAAAAATAGCATAGAAATTCCTTAGAAATATAGAAACAGAAGTAGTTCATGATCCAGTTCATGCTCACATACATATATGTATGTATATGTACATACATATACATAATATGTGTGTATATGTATATACGTACATACACATACAAACATATATATATACATATATACATACATACACACACACACACACACACACACACACACACACACATATATATGAAGAGAAAACAGAAGTCAGAGTGCAAAACACATCACTACTCCCATGTTCATCATTGTTCACAATGGTCATGGCTTGGCATCAACCTGAGTATGCCCGATGCCCTAGGTTCATTCTCCAGGACCTCATAAAACAGAAGTGGCAGTAAAAGCTGTTACCTCAGTACTGGAGAGGTTGGGACATTGGGATACCAAGTTCAAAGTCAACTTCAGCTACATACTGAGAATCATGCCAGCCTGGACTACATGAGACTCTCCTCAAAAATAAAAATAAAAACTTATTGTTCGTCAACATGGATGATCATGGAGGACATTAGGCTAGATGAAAACATCAGACACAGAAAGACAAATACCTCATGTTCTTACATGCATGTGAAAGACACAATAGCTCTGTAACAGAAGGCAAGAGGCGAATAGTAGCAACTAGAGGCTGGGAAGGGTGTGGAAGATAGGGAAGATGATTAGCAGTAACTTGGATACAAATAGCTAAGATGAAAAATTTCCAATTTTCTATCGAATAACAGAGTAACTAGGGCTGTCACTAATTAATTACATATTTCAAAACAGCCAGTAGAAAGGACTCTGAATATCCCTAACACAAATGATCAGAGTTAAATGATGAGTATCACTTGTAGCCTGGCCTTGTATTGAACTCATGACCTTCCATTTCAGCATTCCCAGCCCTGGGATTCCAAGTGTATGTCAAGTGTCCTGATCTGATCCTCACATATGTATGAAATATCAGACCTGAATGTGAATTAAAAAAGAAAACACTTAAGAAATCAGCTATGAAAAACCCACACATAGAGAGCTAGCTAGATAAATTATAATACAACCCTCAAACAGGTAAGGAAATGTAACTTTTCCCCTACTTGGTTTTGACATACAACTTTCATTTGTAGAAACTCACACTATAGCTATAGCTAATGCCCATGTTATTAAATACTGAAAGAGCAAAAATTACAAATATTTTTAAATAATAAAAAAATCGTAAAAATTGCTTTTAAAATAACCCAAATGTTTGCATGGAGAGGAAAAAAACTAAATATGGTACATTCATAGGAAGTGACTTGAGAAAGGAAAAGAGGGAGTTTTCTATTGCTGAATGGCAAGGATCTTTTAAGACAGAACAAGACAGACAAGCACAGGGCACCCAAAGCAGTCAATGCACACTGTCCTCTGTCCACAACAGGAAGAAACACGAACACACAGAGGTACACACATGCACGCATGTGATACTCAAATGAACTTCAAAGAACAATCAGGAGCTCTGGTCATCAGCCACATTGCTTACTGCACTGAATTCAAGTCAAGCAGGGAGCCGTCTGCCATAGGAAGGTGCTACTCAGTGGTGTTTCTTTATGAACAGTGTAAATACACTTCCAGGTAAAACCAACTAGTGGTAAAAATAGAATTTCATTTCTTCAAGATAAAAACAACAATATCAAGTCACATTGTGATGACCCATGATTCGGTGAAGCAGTACAAGGGTCCACATCAAAACATAAAACTTAATGTCCTTAAGGTCACAAGGTAAAAGAGAAAAGCGATTTGCAAAGAGATCTTTCAAGGCTTTCCATATCTTATTAGCACAGACCACATTAAGGCAGACTAGTCTCTTCTTACTTCTTTAGACTCCCCAGAGTCTGAACACTCTGCCTGGACCACTGCAGGCACTCGGGATGCCACAGGGCAGCAGGGCAGCTCACCTTCATAGGTGCCGACTTCCAGCAGGGTCCCGCTCTGCTCGAGGTCCAAGAACTCTTTCACAGTCAGAAAGCTGTAATCCACGCCAGGCACTTCTCCTTCTCTGGGAGATCGGGTTGTGCCTGCAGCAGAAAATACAAAGGCCCAGGATGCCATCAGTCCATTAGAACAGGGAGTTCCAACCCGAGTAATTAAACAAACCTGCTCAGTAAGCTGGCCTGCCTAGAACTGGAACAGGGGCCCAGGAAAAGCAGCTTTCTAATAGAACGACATCCCCAATTCCTCCCTCCTTCCCTCCAGCAGGGAGACGGGAAACAGGTAATCCAGACAGTTTTAGCATTTTTTTTTTAATGCAGCAAGCAAATGAAAAATTGAATCCAATGTCACACAGGCAATGTTCACAATTATCAGCTTTTAGGACTCTAATAAATGCTACAAAGTTATCTGCCCTAAGCTTGGAGCCTAAAGGATTTGTATTGTTATCAGAGGCCTTGAAATCCTTGTTCACAATACATCTAGCAAACTCCAGTGTAGTAAGCCTTTGAAGAAAATGATACCCAGTGCACAGACACAGCACTGCAGAAATGTGACTGCTCAATCTGGGCACGGACATCTCCTAGGGATTAAAATGCTGCTTCCCTCCAGGTAATTATTATGCTCAATAAAATGTGGACACCCATGAGCTCTGAGGACAGACAAAGGACACTGTGTATGAAAGGAAAACTCCCCTTGAATTAATCTGTTCACACTCTCAACAGCTAATCAATGTATCCATTTCTCTTAGGAAATGACATGGGCCACAGAGAGCATTTAAGACGTGCTGCCCAGGCTCTGAACTGTAAAACTATCCATCACACTTCAGCACAGTGTCAACCAAAGAGGGGAAACAAGGTGAATGTGGTTCAGATCTACACCAAAAGAGAAAATAATACGATGCGAACACACAGCGTGTCCTGGGAACCTGTGATTAATGTTAGGAGAACAAAATCAGGGCAATACAATATGATTTCTGAGCCTATATAACCTTGCAAGCCTACAACTAGGGGATGAGACTCAGTGGAGTTCACAAGGCATCATCCATGGTGGTAATTTACCGTTTTCCAGTACAATAAGCAGGGTTTGGTCTTCTTCCCCGGACTCTCTCCTTGCAATTGTAAAGCAATTAAATAAGCAACTGTATGCAAGCAGCAGTTCTAATACCCTCGGTGCAGCATGCAGTCTGATCCCAGACCTGTATAAAACAGCATCGACATGCATAGCATGTGTAGCTAGAACTTCCCCAGGAATTACTGCACAATTTGCTCAGGCTGAATCCATTTCTCTGAGCACCCAAAATTTCAAATATCTTCAATCCATATGTCTTATAAGATAGCTTCAATTTTTTCCCAGAATGGTAGTTTCTCACAACCCATACATGGCTTTGGGCAAAGAGGCTATTGGTGCCACCCAGAACTCAACTCCTATATTCTTTGCTGGTTTGTTCCCCGTTCTGGTCCGGAGTGGATAAAAGGATAGTGTGCAATCTTTAAACTTCTATCCCAGTTATCACAGGCTAGGATCACTGGTGATGCTTGCTTGGCATGTTCCATCCCCAGAAGGGCAAAACAGGCACCAGATACCAGCACACAGTTGATACTGGAGAAAACCAAGAGCAACATACACCACAGGAGAGCAGAGGTCTGGATGGGAAGGACAAATTCATGGTCTGGCTCTCTACTCAGTCTCAGGCATGTTCCTTAGTTTCTATGACTTAACAGTGTCCGCTTTGCAAGACAGGGTTAACAATGGCACTTACACCACAGGCTTGCTGAACGAGTAATTGCAGTCAGTAATTGTTAGTGGGTCTTGTTTTTATGTTGTTAGGATTAAATGAGTTTATAGAGTCTTATATTTCCAATTCCACGATAACAATTTGCAATTATACGAATATGTATACATCTACACATGTATATAATGCCATTGTTTGTCTCAATTATTTAATAATTTTCTGAGGTCCCAATGAATGCCAAGTGATGATGAAAGCACAGAGATAGCATTGGTAAATGAGGCAAAGTTCATGGGAAAACTGATCATTTTACTGTGAGACAGAAAATATGTATGGGGCTGGAGAGATGGCTCAGAGGTTAAGAGCACTGGCTGTTCTTCCAGAGGTCCTGAGTTCAATTCCCAGCAACCACATGGTGGCTCACAACCATCTAGAATGAGGTCTGGTGCCCCCTTCAGATAAACATGTATACGTGATAAATAAAATAAATCTAAAAGAAAATATGTATGTAAATAGACAAGCACAGAGTATAGTTGTGGGTAAAAAAAAAAAAAAAAAAAAAAAAAAAAAGAAAAAGAAAAATGTATCTTACTGCCACGCAGCCTAAAGGATTGGAAAGGGGGAAAAGGAGGCACCCACACAGTGGCAGCTCCTAACTGGCTCTAACTCCAGTCCCAGGGGATCGACGCCCTCTTCTGGTCTCCATATGTACTTCATACCCTTGGTGCACAGACACATTCAGACAAACCACCAATATACATAATAATTAAAATTGGGGGAAAAGGAAACTCATTACATACTATTGTTGGAATTCTCAGGGTCAAATCTGGGCTTAGGAGACCCAACAAGTTAGATGAACCATCCTCCATATGCTAACTGAAGAGACAAGTAGTCCAGAAAAGCAGAGAAAGATGGCAGTTCAGTGTAGTCACACTGGGAAAAGAATGAGTAAAGAGGTTTGATAACCCCCAAATCCATCTTCAGGGTGCTGCCACGAGGTTTAGGTTTCTATGGAGTGTAAAAGTATGCATAACTAAGCAGTTCCCATCAAGGTGTGATCATGTCCATCACTGACCCAGGCTGCCTCCCAAAGTTGTCAGGACTATGCGAAATCTTTTGTGGGAGGTAAGTTCCTCCTTTGGCTGGCACTAGGTAGGATGCCAGCCTTTCCTTCACCCACCATGAGGTTTCTGGGGGAAAACGTAGTTTTGAGGGGGTCCATTGTTTCAATAGTCCTAGTAATACAAGTGTCTCTCTTTTAGATAGCCTCTCTCCGAGCAAGAAGGTTAGCCCTACTCTGTCTGCATTTTAAAGATAAACACAAAGTAACCTGCTGGTGGATTAGATATGCTATGTAAGAGAGAACAATGGAGACTTTTTAAAGGTTTTTAACCTGGACAAATGGGTGATGCCATTTATAAAAGTTGAAATCATGGGACAAATAGTCCAAGGGGGAGGGCCAGAAAAGTTCACCTTGGTCATGTTAAATTTGAGATTAGACACTTTGGTGCAGAGTGCCCAAGGAACAGTGACCTTGCAAATCTGAAGGTCAAGCCGAGTTTGAGAAATTAGTTATCAGTTTTCAGCAAGCCAGGGGCATCTGAAGGCAAAATATTGAGAGAGAAAACCTGAGTAGAGTGTGGTGGGAAAGAAGCTGAGAAGCACTGGCTGGACAGTAAGACCTTCCACTTTCTACTCTAAAAATTCCAGGAAGATTCTGGAAGACAGCTGAGCAGGAGTCACACAGGAGAAGCAAAGGTGGGTGGGGTCTTGAAGCCAAGAGAAAAAGTCGCTTAGTCAGCAACTTGTAAGACACCAATAACCAACAGTCATCCTGGGAAATCCCAGTGTGCGACACAAATAGAATCTCTCTGGATGGGTTGTGAGAGGATCCGCCCTAAGTCTGTTCTCATGGAAAACTCATACTCAGCTTCCACCCTCAAATTCCATCAACCTAGTCCATTCAAAAGAAGACGAGGAGAAAATAAAACCAAACAAAAGATCCCCTGAGTCTTACAAGTCTTCCTAGACCATCAAGTGCTGATTTTCCCTTTGCCTGGCTCTGGCTCATATTTGCCGATTCTTTTTTTTACATGTTATCACATCCTATTTGCCAGATTTACTTTAAAGACAATCATCACCCCTGGGCCTCCATTTCCTGAAAGGATTAGAAATAATCAGGAACTTCAAAAATGACATTTTACAGGAAAAGTGAAGCTACTAGAGACACTGTCTTTCCAAGAAAACAAATCTGTTTCAAACAGCCTTTGAGCTGCAGGGAGGGGGTGGGAAGGCGGTGAGTCTCCACCCATTGGGCTCACAGGGCTTATTACTCAGACGAAACCTGTCCTCACTATAGGCTACCAAGAGGGTTACTCCCAGGGATGCTCCCAGCAACCCTCTCTGGGTCTGGGCCAACTTCCCAGGATCCATTCAGAGAGGATGCTGGGGAAAAAGGCCACAGGGAGGGGCCCCGCCTCCTCTTTTCTTGTAACAGAATGACAGGCTGCTGGCTGGACACACGCCTGACAGATGGCATTTCAAAGGGATTTCGGGAGCCATCTGGGGTGGGTACAATTATTACAAACCGTGCCTCTAACAAAGCCAGAAGGGTTACTTCCTGAAAGAAGAGAAGTAAAACAAATTCTATCATATTAGGAAGACACATAAAAATATACCAGGCTAACAAACTCCAGCTTTCAGCAGCCTAAAATGCTACCTTCTGTTTGTGGAGCTGGAAACCAGGCCAGCAATATCTTCCAGTTATTAGCTTTACGCTCATAAACACAGGGTTTCTCCTCTTCGAGAAAAGGAGACCATCAGACACCAGGGAACAATGGCTTCTAGCTCCTGGATGTTTACTCGTAGAAAGACATTAAGCATTTAATCAAGAATATATTTAATTTGCACAAGAAACCATAGAAGTAGGATTAATATTATATTTGTGAAGAATTCTGAGATTCAGCCGAGGAAAGTAACCCATCCACGGCCATATAAAAGGTAGGTGAGATTAAATGATTTAAGTCATTTAACATGATTTAAAAGACAACAGTTGACATCATCTCTCATTCTAAACTAGCCTTGTCTAACAGAACCTTCTGCCATGGTGAAAACACTTCATTTTGCTGCTGCCCAACATGTAGGCTCTACCCACACGTGCCTGTTGAAAGGTGATGATAACTGGGTCTGGGAAATGGCTCGGAGGATACAGTGCTTGCCACACACACATGAGGACGTGAGAACAGATGCTAGAGAGCATCCACGTAAAAGCCAGGAGCAGAAGGAATTTGAGTCTGTAATTCCAGTAGAAGAGTGGGGAACGGAGTGTAGACACTGAAGGCTCCTCAGAGCTTGCTG